TCACAAACGCATAAGGATCAGCTTCATGTGCTTGAAATGCGTGCCTTATATGGTATTGGCAAAGGACAAAGGTTATAAAGTCTACGAGTAATTACGGAGTCGAAGTACCATTTAGTTCAGCCTCCGTGTGAACCATGCATTGCCTCTATATACCAGCTGCAGTGGATGTTGAACGCCCTTAACGTTACATCTACCCTTGGGTTGTAATTTATGCACTGCTTTTCCTGTCTCAGTCGCAGGTCAAAGCAAAAATACAATGGCGCGTAAGGAATGAGAAGCGACGAGACGACGGAAGTGATGCCGAACTCCAAGCGTCATCAAAGAGGTTGTCACGCGGAAAAACATTCAAGGGATCGCGATATGAAGGATTCGAAGGCTACAAGGGTAAGCATTGTGCATTGTGAAATGCAAGACAGCGATGTAGTATGATGTAGTACATGTGACTGATAAGCGACTAGTGGTGAATATTTTGCCCTTCTGCAAGCTTTGCATTGCATATATTAAAGGTAGTGTGCCACTTTGCATTGGCCATATGAAGTTATTGGCATGGGCGAAGAGAGCGGTCTCTCTCTCTCTCTCTCTGTCTCTCTCTCTCTCTCTCTCTCTCTCTCTCTCTCTCTCTCTCTCTCTCTCTCGCTCTCTCGCTCGCTCTCTCTCTCTCTCTCTCTCTCTCTCTCTCTCTCTCTCTCTCTCTCTCTCTCTCTCTCTCTCTCTCTCTCTCTCTCTCTCTCTCTCTCCCCTCCTCCCCCTCCTCCTCCTCCCCCGCTGGCTCTAACATTTCGTATGAACATTTCGACAGAGTACCTTCCGCCTATGCCGGAGGAAGACGTTCAGCATCTGAGAAACCGCCTCTTGAAGCATCTACACGAGGCTAACCTGACGAGCGAAGGCAAAGCTGAGCGAGAGGCCCTGATCAACTCGACGTTCGCAGACAGGCGCAGGCATGTGGTGACGCTCCGCACCAGCATGCGCAAGCTTTTGGAGCTGTATCCAATCTTGCGGAACCCAGACGAAGTAAGTACTAAGTATGCCTTGGAAGTTGTAAAATTGTCATTATATTCCTACTCTCTAATTCCATAAAATGTCCCCTGTGTGTTGCATCGTTTCGGCTTTTATTCGTCGCCCACCATAGCTTTCTGACGTTTTCTCATCCATGGAGGATTCTATAATATGACTTAACTGTCCTCTAATTATATTGTTGATGCCGGTTGTTCCAGATCTGGCGTGAGCTGGCCAAACTGGAGGGGGAGACGGAGTCGTCTAAGCTTGGTGACTACAGGCGCCGCCTGAGCGACTTTCTCACCGCCATCCAACTGATCACAGAATGTCAAGGTAAATACGGTAAACCATTCACGTCAACTATTGCCCCCCCCCCCATTACGACCATGCAAGATTGCTGCCGAACTACTAACCTATGGGCGACGTGAGACACGTCTCTGCTCATTACTTTCAAATCTAGTACCTAGCAGATGAATGAAAATTAAATTCAAAATACTACTGACTTGTGTCGTGTGCTTTGTCTGTGCATTGTTTATCCTTGTTTTCAAAACGCTCTTAACTAGTTAGGTTTAAGCGTGCAAATTACTCTGTGACGCCTGTTTCTCTCGCTCGCTCTTTCATCGCCCATGAGGTGGCTCACGGCTGTTTATTTGATCGAATTAACAGTGATATGGTCAAAAGCAGCCAGCTAGTTCAGTATGCGTTTCATAAACGTGACACCTCTTGGGCTCGTTCGTTCATCGCCGAACAGGTGTTATACTGACATTTGTGCTGTTATACTTCAGCGACCTTTATTGGATTGGCGAATCACTTGATCCTTGACCTGACGACCAGACCAGTTTTCACATGACCAGGTGAAAACTGACCCTCCCCCCAAAAAAAAATAGATATCAAAATTTGTGTTGTTAGCGGCATGGTCTCGAAATTCGAGGCCTTGGTGGCATTTTATACGATATCCGTGAGATCGGAAGAACTCAAGCAGCTAGCAAGTAGCAGTGTTATACTGTTAGAGGTAAATATCAGTCTGAAAATTTACCTCTATTTCAGACACCGACTGCGTGGAGTCTCTCCTCTACTACCTAGACGCGAACCCCGAGGACATCTTTGAGGGATCAGGAAGCGCGCCGCACTACCAGGTCAACGACGACGGGTCCATCGGCCTTTTCGTCGAGGGGGTCTGCTTGACAAGGTCGGTGGACCGGAGCAGCAAGGCTGATCTCCTGCTTCTGTGGGCAGCGATTTTCCCAGTGTTCAACCAGAAGTGCCCCGTGTCTAAGGCTAAGAACGCTCTGATATTTATCACGGTGAACATCTTTGAAAAGGGGGGCAACCAAACTCTTTCCAACCGTGTCCTGGGACGAGTCCAGCGTCTCAAGCAGCTCTGTGCGTAGCTCTGTGAGTAGCTTAGAACGGAACCTGAGAACGGAACGCCTTTGCCGCTCGGCTGTTAACACTTTCAAACCGTGTGACACGTCCAGCGTCTCGAGCAGCTCTGTGAGTAGCTGAGCACAGAACTTGATAACGGAATGTCTTTTCCGCTCGGCAGTTAACCCTTCGAACCGCGCCCTGGGACATGTCCAGAGTCTCAAGCATCTCTGTGCGTAGCTCTGTGCCTATAGCTTAGAACGTAACTTTAGAACGGAGCGCCTTTGCCGCTCGGCAGTTTCCTACAGAAGATTACTTTTTTAGGTTCATTTTTAGTACAATAAGAGAAATATTACTGTTTGCAGTTGTAAGCTTGCTGAAAGGAGCTTGAATGCAGTTTTGAATAAACATGTTTGATGAGTTTAATTCGATTCGTTTTTTTGGGGGGGGGGCGGCTGTGAAAAGAGGTGACTAACACGCACATTAGTTAAGTTACACGCCTGTTCTCAAAAATGCATTTAGTTTATTAACACGCACAGCTTAGTTAGCTAACACGCAATATGTGTGTTTTGCGTACACGCATATAGCTAGTGAAAAGTGGCCGTGTGACAAACACATGTGTTACCTAACACGTCTGTAGTTATTAACAAAACACACCGATGATAGTCAATAAACACGCTTACACGGCTTATCTTAGTAACCTGGCAAATATTCGAAAACTAGGAGGTGTGTTTCAAAACACGCTATTCAACCTTTTGCGTGTAATTGAAAACACACATAGTCATGAAATGCGTGTTTTGCTTACACGCCTATGGTTAGTGAAAAGTGGCCGGATAACTAACTAGTTGGTAAACTTTTTTTACAGTGTACACCCATGCGCCGGACCTAATTTTTAATAAAGCTGGCTGTGGAGGAACGAGCGGGTACATACCTACACGCACGACCCCTGTCGCCGTTTAGCATTTAATTCAGCTACAGAAAAAGATTGCGTGCGCCGTTACGCAACGCAGCGACCTGTACCTACCCAATTTTGATTAAGGCAATTTAAAGTAAAATTTAAAATTTAAATAACAACGGGTGACCTCTGAAGTCAGCTCGAACGCCCCGCGGTATAAAGGGTTTGGTTTTTGGTAAATAGCTTCGCCAAAAATGATCGCAAAAACGCGATTTTGGCACCATTGTGTTCTCCATACTCAGGCGCGTCAAATGAGATACTTTCTGTTTAGTCCAGGACAACTTAAGGTGTTGACCTAAGGCCACCGTCAGGTCAAAGCCACTCAGGTCAAGAAAATTGTTGATGTCGGTCATATTGCATTGTATACCTATAGAATTCGGTAGGGCTTAAACGAGCTACTCGTATTTGGTAATGTTTCCTACCCACTAACCAATTACATCGGGAATTATTGAAAAACTCTTATAAACTCAAGTGCTCCAGATAGTCAAGATAATGACTCTTAAATGCATATAAAATCGTGTGTCGTAGATCATGAGCTGGTGTCAAAACAACAGCTTCCATGATTTCCCCAATGACTTGTAGTGGTGAGGTCAAGAGAGTCGAAACCGACCTGACCTCAGGTGACATTTATGAAAAATGCGAGTCACGGAAAAGGTGCGAACTTTAAAGCTTACTTCTTTTGTCAAATCCAACCTCCTTGCAAATGATTCCTTGACGCTTATGGCATTGCGAAGCCATATTTTTGGATTTTGCAAGAGTTCACTTACGAGTTATGATACCTGACCATAGGTCAATGAAATGGCCTGAACTGAAAATGCGGCTGGCGTCACAAGATCCATTAATTTAACGGTCAGGTATGCCAACCTTGAGCTTCCCTGTATCTAAGCATTCCGGGCAATCGCAAATAAACTATCGGGGGGGGGGGGGCTAGACTCGGAGAAGCAACTACAAGGTGCGAGTTCAGCTGTAACAGTATGTACATCATCTCCAATTATGTGCAGGTGTTCGTCGTACAGAAACTGGGATTGCCATAATCAACAGTTACTGTCGCCGAAGCCCTAAACGTGAAGAAGCTTTGCTTTATTTTGACATTTGACCTGATATTCATTCGTCACTTGCTTTTCGAAAACAAATAAAATCTACATTGAAGAGACTTAGATACGTCTCAGGGAGCCCTTTCCAGCGTTGACTCGCACGTCTCGCAATGCGAATTTGGTTTCCAAGGTAGATACGAGGGCGAGAGTGCATTTACGCCTTCGGCCTCTTCAGTTATTGTATCCAAGCTAGGGAACGAGGAAACTGGAAAATAACTATCTAAGCGAAAGAAAGAAAAATATTTTCTTCGGCAACAAACTAAGCGTTATAAGCCTGTCAAATGAATCGATCACAAAAATTGATTGATGACATTTGTACCGGTCATTTACCCGATATCGGCAAAACGTGTTGGTGAAACTGGCTGAGTCACGCGTCAGGCCTGTGAACCTCAGCTGAATCTGACAGACGGGGCGGGGGAGGGGGAGGGGGAGGGGGCGGACTCTAGACGGGTGGGCGGCCGCTCACAGCAGTCGCCGCGTGCGGAGAGGGTCGCACAAAGCCGGGAGGGTGGGCGGGGGACGGGGTGGGGCGGGTGACGACAGAGAAGGGTCCAGGGGTAGACCCCGGCCGCCGCCGCCGGCCAGCCAGTCTGTCGCCGCTGACCAGACGCGACTGGTGCTTCCATACAGTTGCCGGGACGGGGTCTCGGGTTCGTCCGGAAGTGCCGGCAAGATCGAACTGTGATATAGTATAGGGCCGGCAGATCGTTGGAAGATATGCGTTTCGCGGGCAAGGTTAGTGAAAACTTGTATGTACCTACCTAATGTTTTTACCTTAAGGATTAGCATTGCCTGTGAGAAAAAAAAAACAAAATGTCTAACTCTTCTAATTTGATAGCCCTCTTTAATTTGGTTTTTAATTTTACCTTTGCACTTCAAATGTTTTTTTTCAACAGTTAAAAAATACACTTATAGGTACCTAAATGTTTCCGATGTATAGGATTGGATGGGATTCCCTATTCTTACTATATAGTATAGTGTCGAAGCGGACGACAAACGTAAATTATTATTTGGTCTATTTTTAGTATTTTCACGATAACTGTCAAAATTGCCTTTCGCCTTTGTGTTTTCAACAACTACTTGCTAAAAATATTTAGGTACGCCTGGAAAAGCATGTGTGGTCTGAAAACGCCTGGAATGACTCGTCATGCCCGGAGGCCGGACAAAGATCAGTAAGTGCGTAAGGAATTTATAAACACTGGTGCCACGTGGCATTGTCCATGCTTTTCATGATGTGGAATTAATGTACCACTCCAAAGTCCAAATATTTCACGCATAAAGACATCACGAGCTACCAAGCTAGACTGAGTCTTACAAATGTTCCACAAAACGGCATCTCGCACTATCTGGCAGTATGCAAACAAAAGGAGTTATAATTAGGGTAGTAGATACCAGCCATCTAGAACATGTCGTTAATCGATGGGTAACATCGAGCTCCCATCGGCCCCGTCACGTCTTACACGCCGGCCGGCCTAAACCGACTGATCCAACTCTTATCTCATCGTCAAATGTGTGGAGCCCAGTAACCGGCCGACTGTCGACCGGATGTGCCTCCAGATGCGTACCTTCCACCCCCTGGTAGGGTGCCGCCGGCGCGAGTGTTTATCTTGGTTAGAGTTTTTAATGTAGCGTGCGCGGCGTTTGAAAACACTAGCGGGCGCCGGCTTATCGCAAGGCCTACACACTACCCGGCCTCGTCTGGTCGTCTGTGTGCGCTGGACGGCTGTTCACTTTGGTGTACACTGTGGTGTTGCCCAGTGATCTCCTTTGCGTTTTACTTATCCCGACAGAGCTAATGTGTGACGACTGATAACAGCCGTATCATGCAGGCTCAATCTCGTACCTATTTTGATTATGCGGCTAATTGCCGACAAATCATCTCTGTTGCCTATTCTGAATAATCGATTATCCTCATACCGCGAGTTTAAGTCGCGGTGCCAATCATTCGTGGACACACTTTAACCCTCGCCCTGGCAGGGGGGGTCGATGCGACCCCCCCCCTAAGGTTTTTCGAAGATAGCGTAAAAACGGCGGCGCGCAGCGCCGCCAAATTTGGCACAGCCTATGGGGCAACCTTTTTACATATGACCTGAAAATTTCAGGTCCGGGTGAACTTGGGTCAGGTCACCAGGTCAGAAAAACCGATACAAGGTCATGGTCAAATTTCAATTTTCTTTTTGCACCTGTCCAACTCACAGTTTTGCACTGATTTCCTTCAAACTTTCAGGATGTGATAAGTTCACCGAGTTGTATAACATATAGTTCGGGTTTTTTGAGGTCACTGACCTGAGGTCAGTTAGAGGTCATTACGTCGTAATGTTAAGCCTATGGGAAAATACTAAATTCGGAAAATACTGGAGATATCCGCTTCGTTCTATCACTTTTGTGCTTTCAAACCACAGTACTTAACAGCAGGTCACTTGGTGCTCTTTGTTTGGTGTACTTATCCATGGGTCAGGTCAAATGAGGTCAACTGAGGTCAAATGACGTTTTTGCCAAAAACTTGGCACATAATGACGCTAGAGCTTAAAAAATGGTATCATTGTGTTCCTGGTGATCAGCCGAATCGAATGATATGCGATATGATGCAATTTGGTTAACTTTAACTTAATTTATTAATTTAAGTTTGCTTGAAATTTAAGAAAAACTTTAAGTATACTTCAGCAAGCTAACAAGTATATCATTCGACGCGCCTTGACGTACTGAGTTCACTGGTGCTTTTCTTTTTGCTCTATCTTAATTAGATCAAAAGTTATAAGCGAAAAACTTTTGACCTGTTTTTAGCGAAATTTTTACATTTATACCCCCCAAAACCCCCCTAAATATTGACCTAGAGCAACCAAATTTGCACAGGGGCGAGCACTCCAGGGGGCCCACCTACCTACCAAATTTGGTGTTTCTAGGTGCCATAGGAGCCAATCGCGAGGGGGGGGGGGTCGCATCGACCCCCCCCCCCCCTGCCAGGACGTGTTATGAAAAATGCCCTGCCAGGGCGAGGGTTAAGGTTTTGAATTTCGCATCTGCAAATCCTGTTAAACCTGCATGACGCTAAAACCATGCCCCAAGGTCAATGCGACCGTGAAACTCTGCTGTTTGCAATGGGACAAGTTGTGACGGCTGCCGCCAGGTCAAACTGTCCATGTCCGACACAGCCCAAGGCTTTGTAGCGATCTCCGTGACACCACGCCACTCCTTCTCATGTTTCTCGTGTCGACTCATATGTCCTCTACTGCCCTTGCTCTGCAAGCTCTACCCCTGGTGCGCTCCGCCTTATTTACTCTTATTAATGATAAATACAAGTTTGTTTATGCTACAGCAGCCACCCAGCGACATTACGCCCGCGGGCACGGCCATAGCGAGCCGCCGCTGTCCCTCCCAAAGTCTTCACCCAACGACCCTGCGACTCGGCTCTATGGACATCCTATTATCCACTGTATAAATAAATATGACCCCCCCCCCCCGGCCCCCCCCCCGCCCCCGAGTCTCGCCCCGTCACTACTCACCAGTCACTACACACTACAGCGGCCGTGACGTAATTACCGGCCCACACTAGTCTGACCCGATGTTGACCCCGTGACCTTTTCCATCCCCAGAAGGTGGACATTCAGGTGCGCGATCCGAGACTGGAGGACGTCGGCTGCTGCAACTTCTGTCTGGGCACCTGCCTGAACCCCTATCCCATCAACTTTGAGATCATCACAATGGTGAGTGCTCCCAAGATCCACGATAACTGGGGCTTTGTTTTTACTTAAATTACAATATGTTACGAATCGCTAAAGAGTTGTTTTCCAAAGTAACTGCTGTAAGCACCTAACGTTTGCCGTGCCCCTCTCTGCCTCTCATGCTCGTCATCGCGCAAAATAACCAGCCTAATATCCTCGCACCCGTGTGAGCGCTCAGGCCCGGACGTTTTAAAGGCACGCACATGTCCCTTTTGTTCCGAACGAACTTCGCCGTGTTTCCAGTCCGACTCTCCGATGCTCTGCGCCAACTATATGGTGGTGAGGCGCTGGGATGAAGACTTCATCAAGCTCTACAACAGTCTTCGCGACCAGTTTGCCTTCAAGTAAGTGTAAATAAATATACCTTATATGAAGCAAAAACATAAGGACATGCGACTGTTACCTTTTTGCCGCGCCTGGCAAAACAACTTCCGTTACAAGAACAACTCACTGAACTATTTGACTTCAAAGTTCAATGCGTTTGCGTACCTACATTTCGGCAAAATGTCTCCTTGTCTTGCTTACCCCATTGATCTTTGGTGTTAAGTCTTGCTGTAATTCATAACTCATTGCATCGACCACCGCTCACCATATGCTCTTCACCCCACCCCACCGCCTGACTGAGCTGAGTCTGACCTTCTCCCCTACCTAACTGAGCTGACCCCGTCCCCCGTCTGGACGCAGTGGGCCTCTGATCTCGGCTCTGAACACCCACCGACCGCGGCGGCTCACACAACTCTCCGAGGACGCGGTCACCCTCCAGTGCGGCCTCCACAAGAAGCTGCTCAAGTGGTGAGTGCCCTCCTATCGGGCCGGCCCGCTCGTCCTCTGCCGGTACATGGCCCCGTTCTCGGCCCGGCGTCGGTGTGTGAGTCAGCCCGTATCGCGCCGCTGTCCAAAGTAGCGTCACGCCGGAACGCTGAGAGCTGACTAATGACCCCGCACGGCCAGTGACGTCACGGAAACACCATGTGTTTAAATAGGGGCGATGTTCTCTTAACCTAAATAAATACTATGTAGACAAACAAATTTTTAGTCTGACTAATACAGTGGCCGTAAATTTGCGAGCTTACGTACCTATTATCATTTTTTCTCGCTTTGTATGGAATCCCAAGCCTTATTCAAAGCATTAGGTGCGATCTTCACTCAATACACCCTGGGCGCGATCGGCATTACGTCCCCGAGTTGCGTCCGACCGAGGAGCGTAAGATCAAACTATCAGTACCTATAGTCCACAGAAGCGCTAGGTGCTCCATATCCTGAATGACATAAGAGCAGCATGTAATCTAAATCGCAGCCATTTCTAAAAATAAACGTCCCAATTGCGACAACTTTAACCCGCGCCCCGCTGGGGGGGGGGGGGCAGAATCTGCCCCCCCCCTCCCGTTTTTCGCCAATAACTTCTAAACGCGTTATGCCAGCGACGTCAAACTTTCAGTACCTTATCATACATCAATTTGACACGTTCCCTGAAAATTTGAGCGAAATCCGTCGGGACATTTTTGAGAAAATGACGTTTTAGTGACGTCATGTTCGCCATTTTCGCCTCAAAAACGGCAAAATTTCAAACGCCGCCAACATCTTCATTTTTAAAGGAATCAAGACGTAACAAAAAAGGTTATACGTGATTCTACTTTGTCTATCAAATGGCTATCTCGGTTTTTTGAAAATTTTGGATTTTGGCCAAAATTTTTCCAAAAAACTGACTTTTTTGGGAAAATATTTATAAAATCCAAAATTTTGAGTTTATCGAAAAAAACCGGAATATATGTCAAAGAAGTGGTCTATGTGCACCTACATACCAATTTTTAGAAGAATCGGTTCAAAAATGTGGAAGTTATTCAAAATTTTATGACGTCACGACACACAAAAATTTTGAAAAATGATTTTTTTTGGAAGTTCTAGACCTCGTACAGAAACAAAAATAGCACCATTCGATTCGCCGTGAAAAACTGCATCGGATAGACACCTTTTTAGGCCTTAACAACCAACTTCAAAATTTGACCTCACTTGACCTGACCTTGACCTGACCTCGACCTGAAATTCATCCAGAGGTGGTCCATATCACTTATTGAGTGTGCCTATTGAATTCCATGAGTAAAATGACCCATAAAACATGTGTCGCACATGCCCTTTTCTATATTTTGTTTTTGGTGACCTGACCTAACCTGACCTGACCTTGACCTTGACCTTTGAATGACATTGTGTGCAACGAATATTGTCTTGGTAGTCTAAGAACAAGTTTTGGGCAATCAGTCTCAGTCCATTCTTCGGCAACTACGGTGCAAGGCCGATACTGTAGAAACTTGCATTTTGTACCCTTGACCTGACCTCTGACCTACTTAAGCAAAAAAATTTGGGCTCTTAAAGGTAGTGTGCCACCTTTGAAAGATTTCCCATTTTATTTTTCCTAGGATAAGAAGCTTCTGTTTTTACCTAATATCGCAAAAAAATCAAAAATGGGCCTGGAATAGTGCCTTTTTCGCCTAAAAGTTTTTTCGGTTTTTAGATATGTATAACAACTGTAGTGGGCTCACCTGCAAACAGGCGTCGGGCAACAATCGCGAATGCGGCGCACTTGTGACAATAAGCAAAGGTCATTATAGTGTTACGACCATACGACGTACGGGAATGAGTTATCAGCTGTCTAATCGTAGACAACACAATGTCGAGCCTTAAACTGTAAGCCCGTATTGGTATTGTTTCTTTTATTTGGCTGTCGAACATTATTTATGGTTTGAAATATGATTTTATGTAAAATAATTGATATGAAAAAGCCGTCTTATAAGTTATGACCCCATTTCACCACACGCAAGTGGCAGAAATGACAATGATCAGCTGACGCATTTTTCTTGGCCGAAGTCAGAGCGCGCGGCCCGACGCACCACGCGTATTTGGAAATTCCGACCTCGACGAGCATCAGAAGCCACCTAACAGGCGTGTTCGAAACCGCAGGAGATGATGATGAACGGGTTTGTCGAAACTTGATTGGATGAGCATATCGGTAATAGCGATTTCAGTGTGTGCATTTATTGTTCATAGTGGTGTGAAATGTGGTTGGGGTACGACCGACAACCCGTCGGGGCGAATTTCGCACTGGGGTACTCAAAATTTGAAGAATTTAAGACGTTTCCATGAGTTTTGAAGGTATGGATAAGTTCTAAAAATCCGGTTCTCCTTATCTGGGCCATTAACTCCATACGGTCCAAGAAAGCTGGCACACTACCTTTAAGATCCGCCTTGTTGAGAGCTTTCGATTGCCGTTTTCCTCGTCTTTCTACGACCATCGGTTCGGAAGTTAGACAGGGGGGGGCAGAATCTGCCCCCCCCCCCAGCAGGGCGCGTATGGCTGAATAGCCCAGCGGGGCGCGGGTTAAGTTACAAGCCAGATGCAGCAGAGATATTAGGCGATTTTCGGTCACGTAAACAGTAAACACACCTCTCAACTCCGAATTTTACCCACTACAAAATGCCTAGTTGGCTCACGAGACCAGGACGTGGAACTTTCGAAACAATCACCGCAAAGATCTAAGGAACCCACCTGTTAAATGAGTCTCATAAATTTTGAGCGCAAACGTTCAAATGTCGATTTAATCGTAGACACATTTCCGCCCACTAACCCCCGCTCCGCTCCCCCCGCTAATGTCGCGTGCCGTCCCTGCAGGATCATGAGCAACAACGCGTTCTACAGCAGCCACGACCTGCACGCGTTCATCGGCTGCAAGGCGGACACGTGTCCCTCGCAGCACACAGAGTCGGTGAAGAAGTTCCCGCAGTACCCGCGCGGCACGCGACGCCGCCGCTCTGGCCAGCACGAGGACTGAGAGTGCGCCCGCCGCGCCGGGGCCGTACCGGTGGGATAACTACGGTACGGAGATACCTGCCGTTTTGTTTCTGTCACGCGGATCTGAACTGAAGTGACGTGAGCAGTACGTTACAAAGATTGTTCACATATTGCCTCAGTCTCGTTCAGTGTTCTTTGAATCCTTGGCTGAATGCGTTTCGTTCACTTTTCACTTCACCTCAGTTGAAGCACGTCACAGAAAATTCATTTTAGAGTCATTCTTCTTCAGAGATGTATATTATTTGCCAATTTCCAAACATGATATTGAAGGCCTATTAACTCGCGCATTCCTAATCTACCCGTAATATTTCTAACACAGAGTCGGACCCATTTCAGGTTTGACGTTCGACATCAGAGCGAAGTGAGCTCCGCTGTCCAATGGACAGTGTAAGGACGACCGCAATGACCGGAGAGCAGCGACCGAGGCTGCAGGCTTGGTGGTCAGATGTGTCTAGTGGTCTGATGACAAGCGTGTCGAATCTGAGGACCGCGAAACCAAGCCAAGAACTGGCTGAATCCAGCGTCGCCAGAGGCGGTGTGACATCGCGATCTCTGTGACCAATCATCACGTAGCAAAGTGTGCCGATCAGAAGAGAAGAATCGCGGAATGTCGATGTCCAATGACCACAATCTTGGAAAGAGAGACAATTGCGGGTCACGCATCGACACAAGATTGTAGACTTCACTGTATCTCATGATTTTTGTATCTCACGATTTTGCCTGCCAAGCTCCGTGCTGTCGTTTATTTAAACGGTTTGTGTACGACGAATGTCCACGTGCTGAGTACAAATAGTTCACTGCCAGGGGTTGCGTATGTGCGTCGTATTCAGACGGATGTCTCGCCTCTTTGACTGGTGCGTCTTGGGCCAGATTACTGACACCAGAGAGGCATTAGGTGTGCCACCATCATGACGCTCATATCCGGTGTTTTACTGACAACCATTGTGTAATCATTGTGTAATTGTCTGGGGAGTCGTTTTAATACAGGATCATACATTCCTTCAACTCGCATGTCATAGGCTAGGGAATTGAGAGGATCCACCATCGGAAGTTAAAATGTTAGCAAGTTCCATCAGGCCATATTAGGGTTGTTCATGATCTCACTGGTTCTCAACATAGAAACAGGTAGGTTCTACTTGGATCTATGATACCAAAACAAAATTTGAACAGAATGAAAGAACTTGATATTGACATTTCAAATTGTTGAGATCAATGAATCACAGATACAGCATTCGTCGACACATTTTAAATATCTGTTTCGCAGAGTTCCTCAGCTGTTAGCCTTTCTTTTACGAAACGGCTCAGTCTTTTTATCTTGTTTTTAGGAAACGCTGTCAACAACTCTTGAGGCAGATGCAGTAAGGAGGATCAAAATTACGCCCACGCAATATTTTTAAACTTCCTCAGTTACCATCATCTGACCCAAATCGACTGAATCATGCCTAACGTTCCGAAAAAAACACCAATAATGTGACCAAGGCCATATACGTAATTTGACTATATAGGTCGCATCAACAGATATTTTGTCCTTCCCACAGGAAAATGGCAGCACCGTCGAGATCAACATGCGTGCGGACTGTTATATAATTTTTAACAAACCGCAAACAAATTAACACACCTTTCGCGGCAACCCTTTCGGATCTATTTAAATTTTTGTTATTATTTGACAATTCATTGTAATAAATTTCAGTCTGAAACTTGAAACGGTGATGTGAAAAAATTTTCGTAGGGTTTTCAGTCCATTAAGCTTTCGAAATAGTTAAATTGGTAGTCATGAGGAAATTAACTATGGGTTGAAATGGGAGATGTACCAGATCTTCCACCAACAAGCCTGTCAAAGGCTATCAAGGAGGGAGGAGAAGTTTTCGGTAAGTAGTGTTCAGTGTTCACGGTACACTGAAATCCTTGAAATTACAATAATCCCCTTAGATGCAAATCCTTATCTCATCAAGCACACAACAATTAGGTAGAAGTAAGCGTACCTGTCGGGATTGTTTGAAACGATACTTGAAACGTTGAACCGTGAAAAAGGATAGCGAATACGTAACATTACCAAATGACTGAAATGACTTGACTGAGTTCACTACTCAAATGATCTTCGCGGGTCGGTTGAGTCAGTTGTCTGTAAAGGAACACCTCCTCATGTAACCGCAGCAGCCTGACACCGTCTCGCTCTCGTTTGTCTGGCAGCATCATGGCTGAACCACCAGACCCTCCTGTCGGTACCGCGCGAGTACCCTCCGCCACCAGACACCAGGGTGCCATGGAAGTAAGTCAATGCCGATTACCAAACAATAATCGCTTTCCCCGGCTGCCTTACCAGATAGTCAAAGCGAGAAAATGCAGGCTTACAGTCATGCTTAGCTTATCGTATCAAAGTTTATCGTATCTAATTGAAGCTTATCGTAACAAAGTGTTATCTATGAATTTTGTCCATCGTGAACAACATTTCAATTGGTCATTTTCAAATTTCACCATGTTTCAATTCTGACGTTTTCTTTTCATAAAGCAAATCACATATGGGAATGCCAGACAACAATGGACCATCTTTTGCTCGAATATACTACATCGCGAGGCCCAAAAAAGTCATTGGCATGGAAGTACACACGAGGTAAGCAATTCAACAACAAATGGTATGTAAAGAATTTCATCAACCAATCATCTCAAACATGCTTCAAAAGTAAATAGGTACCTAATTATATTTGGCTGGAAAAAAGCAATTTTGTAGGAGCGTGTCTTTAAACGCTCACTGCACTAAAGCTCTAAGTGTAGCGTTTGTTACTTCAGTATTTAAACATCGATATAAAATTCAAAAGTTCAGCATCACCGAGTCCAGAGTACAAGCAAAATTAACAGTGGCTGCTGCCAAGAATCGCCATTCGTTCAAAAGAAGGCAAACGCCCATCCCACACCTATGCGAATTATCTGACCCACCTACTTTTCGACCCACCCACTTTTCAGAACCAACGACGAGGTTCTGCACGTGCCAAAGGCGGCGCTCAAGTACAACATTACCGACCACGTGTTGATGATGTCCCATCCGAAGAAGGTCCACCCGCCGGATGGTAAGGAGTGCTGGGCTGGGGCCGCAGGGAGGGTGTGTCAGGGTGCAGGGCGCCGGCTGCCCCGCACCTTGATAGTGAACGCTGTGGTAGAAGTTTGGAGAGCGCGTGGTAGTAGATGTGCCTCTTTTTCGAGCTATTAAGATTGCCAGCATCGTTAGAAACTCAGGTTTCCTCATATCCGCCTAGCCTAGGTTCATGCACTGAATAGGAATGACCGATGACGTCCCTAATGTTGTTCGACATTATTCGATATAACATGAAAAACGCCTCAAGCGGAAACTAGCGTCTGAATCCTTCCTGAGCAGTCATGTCCATCCGTCCTGTACGCCGGACGTGTGTCCCGTCTGATATATTTGTCCCACGCACGACAGTGAACGAGCCATGGCATCTCAAGAACAAGGGCAAGAAGTACCACCTGCCCGAGCGGGTGGCCATCATCGCGCGGCCTCGCAAGGTGTATCCGAGCACCGACCGGCCAGCCAGCGAGATCGGCCACCCGCCACGCGCCGCCCTCTACGGCCACCCTCCGCGACGTGGCGACTCGGCGCCCGCCAAGAAGGCCGCGCCGCCGCCGCCCAAGCCAGCTCCACCTCCTCCACCGCCGCCTCCGGCAGCCGCGGAGCCGGCCGCGCCGTCAGCGTCCACCACCGGACCGACCACGACCACCTCGTCGACCGAGCCGACGGGCACCACGTCGACGACCGGCGGTCCGACGACCAGCGGCAGCTCGTCGGGCGTGACGTCCAGCTCGTCGGGCAGCAGCGGCGCCGGTGGCGGCTCAGAGTCGTCGCCGTCGGCCGACACGTGAGCCGCGCGCGCCGGCCCGCCGCAGAGCGGTGCTGACAGGAGCGGACAGCGCGGAGGGTGGCGAGAGGAGAGCGAACGCCGCACCGACGCTGCGCCAAGGACCGATAGGTAGTTACACCGACCACTAGGACGGACCGAGGAGTCCTGCAGACAGCCCCGAGGACGGTTCGAGTGGACGTGGCTTGACACATGATGACAACAGGAGGGAGTCACTGCGGAGGTTTCGCTTCGGGACCCGAGCGGTCGGTGTCACGGCCAGACGTCGGGCGTCTCGTTATTAGGCGCAAAGTCTGAACGCCGCTGGTCTGTGTCGAACAGTGGAGTGGCCCAGAGCTGCTAGGAAGCTGGAGCTGGAGACCTGTGGCTGCATGGCATCCGTACCGGCGGACTGTGGCACGACCAGAACTATCCTACTTTATAGCTTCGCGGTTAATGGGTACTAAAGTTAAATGCAGAGAAGAAGAATAATGTGTTAAAGCCACGGTTGCAGTGTTTGTTCATTTTTACCGAAGTTACCTACCGAGTGTTGCGCTTGAAAGAAATACAACGTATACCTACAGTATCTAACTTACTATTCAAACAGAATCCGTCTGTCTGTGAGTCTGTGTGTCCGCACATCGTGTAGTGGGTTCAATTTGTTACGGCTAGAGGGCAGACGGTACGACGTAGGGGGCTGAAATTTGCACACCTTCTAGGTGACAGAGCGGGTCAGCGCCTTTTCTAGGTTCCGACTCGCTGGGGTGCACGGTTGGCGCGTGGCGCGCGCTGGAAGAACGCCAATGAAATTTTGATCGGTTCGTAGATCTTCATTGAGAGCCGGGGTCGACAAACTTTGTGAACTAAATGCATGCCGATCGGTGGCGGGTGCCTCGCATTGGCGGATGGGCAAGTTTTTTAATTTGAACGAAAAGTGGCGAAAAATGTGTTGGTTTTCATTCAATGGAAACAGTTTGTGATACGAGTATACAAATGCACCGCGTTTGCCGCAATGCGTCATATTGGTCACAGGGCGCCTTTTTTGCCGCAGCTCGCACAATTTTGTCAAGTATTGTCTGGTAAAGGTGCAATTTGGTGCCAGGATGCATGCTCAAACAACAGGTACAGATGCGCCACATTTGCCGCAATGCGCCACATTTGCCACAAAGCGCCAGTTCCGACAAAATCGAGTAAGGGTAATGCAATGGCACGAATAGGAGCAGGGCTGGGAACACTTTTAAAGTCTGATTTTGAAAAAAAAAATATTGGATCCAAATATTATGTGACTTGACATGACCCAGTGGTAGGTAGTGGTAGTGGTAGGGGTAGTGGTTGTAGTGGTAGGAGGTAGGGGTAGGGGTAGGGGTAGGGGTAGTGGTAGGGGTAGTAGTAGGGGTAGTGTTAGGGGTAGGAGTATGGGTAGTAGTAGTGGTAGGGGTAGTGGTAGTGGTAGTGGTAGATGTAGTGGTAGGGGTAGTGGTAGGGGTAGTGGTAGGGGTAGGGGTAGTGGTAATGGTAGGGGTGGGGGTAGTGGTAGGGGTAGTGGTAGGGGTAGGGGTAGTGGTAGGAGTAGTAGTAGGGGTAGTAGTAGGGGTAGTAGTAGAGGTAGTAGTAGGGGTAGTGGTAGGAGTAGTGGTAGGGGTAGTGGTAGAGGTAGGGGTAGTGGTAGGGGTAGTGGTGGAGGCAAAAGTAGAACAGTGGCCCGGGCTGATCCCATCGGACGAGAGGTGACCTATGTGACCTGGTCTGACCCAAAGTGACCGGGGCTGACTCCTTTGGCCCGTCTTGACCCCGTATCAGCCAAATTTCATCCAACAAAGCCCCCAGAACAGCTCTTTTTTAATTCTCTTCACATTTCCGTCCAAATCTATGCTTCTAGCCAACACATCGATTTGAAACGAACACCATTCGAAAGCAAATTGGCTGGTGCCGCAATTTTTTCCTACCACGCAGCAAAGCAAGTGGCGCAGCCGCTTGTCTATATTACTATTTGAGGAGGGTGCGTCTGTCCGTTACCGAGGTCCCGACTTGGCGGTGCTTTGCGTGGACTACAGGCCAGACCGTTGCACCTAGCCCGGTGAAACTTGCACAACTTATAGATCAAGGATGCGCGACGTGCCTTTGAGGGGTCTCAGCTCGATCGGATTGATAGGGAGCGCGTGGCGCGTGCTCAAAAAGTGCAAATTCGCGTCATAGACTTTACATGTATAAATCGGCGTGCGAAATCCGGCGAAAACGGCTAATTTTGGCCGACACGGGTCCAGTTCCCGTGCAATATCTTGGTGACCAGGGGTCCGACCGGCACGGGGAAAACAGCATCGTGTACAGAATTGAACGGGCTATTGAATGGTGTGCAATGCAGAGGATAGCACGCGCCACGTGCACCGGAGAGGGCATTTTTATTTGAAAAATTGCGGTTTTTGAGGGATTTTGGAATTAATTTTATTTTTAGGTGACCGTTAAATGGAGCGAGTTGAATCAACGCCTATTTGCAAGAGAAAGGTACCGCCTCTCATATAAAAATTGTGAAAAGCTGATTGATCCAAATCAAGGTGGTGCAAATCACAGGAGAAAATGGTGTTTGTCAATTTTGTGCCACTTTATTAATCACACGGGGTTTGCTGCATAACCTGATACCTTTGGCAATTGAATATGGTACCATTGGATAGAGCATTCAATTCTGTCCAATATTCACTCTTCATTTTCGCATGATTAACAACAGTATCCTTAAAAATGTAAATGTTCCAAACCATTACATTGTCATTTTTAGCGAAATTCATCGATGGCCCTCAAAAGACTTCACGCCAGTTTTCGAATCAATCTAAAGTAGAACGCATGATAATACGACACGGGCACCTCGATGCGATGTATCTTTTTGTTTTCTTACAAAATGCTTGGCCGTCAAAAAGCAATCGAACGAAATGGATATCTACCAACCAAATCGACACAGACCAACCAAATACCCACGGGTCAAAAAATCCCCCCTTCGCGTTGCGGAGCACGCGGGTAACCCTAGTGCAATCCTATTTGTACCAGGTAATTACCAGGAGAGGGAAGCGCTGCATGTACCTACCAAAGTTCTACATCTATTTTTGAATCATTGTTTTATTTATTTTCGATTTGTCATCTAAACTGATGTCTGATTGTCTTAGAAGGTGAAAATACCTCATTGGTATGAACGCAACAGATATTTTTGGTTTTGGTAGAAATGTATTTTGTTTTCCCATCCCATGTAACTAGTCCTCTTGTACCTAAAGCGTATAATGTAACCGTGTGCTTCAAATGAAAAACCATAATTTCATTATACTCTTAACATTCAGAAGGGAAACAATGATTGGCATTTGGTTATTTTCTTTTATTTACCAAAATACATGTAAAAGCCATATAACAAATAACGAGTACACTTTAAGACCATGAAACGACCAGACAACTACACTTAACCCGTGGATAAAAGAGCATTTTCTATCGACGGAATCATGCCTCATGTCACTAAAGATCTCTTTGCTAAAGCCTGTACCACACACTAATGAAACGCGTCATGCACCCACAGGGTTACAGTGAGGGAAATCCACGTGGAAATGCTTAGAGATAAAAGATGAATTGTGGGATGTTCAGTTGGGTATTCGTCCCTGGAACTCCATTCTGTCGTTTGTGGCGACGGTCACACGTCCTTTAGAGCTTCCGGCAGAGGGTTCTTGGGGTGCTTGCTCTCGAAATGTTGTTTGTACGTTTTCGGGTCAGGCATTTGAGACTGAAATATTCCGAAAAATGGCATCAGAATTTGCGATTTAACACCCACAACTTTCCACGATAGGAATGAAGAAAACAATTGTAAGAATATAAAAAGCCATGCAGTGAAACGAGAACATGCCATAAGGTGTCGTTTACAAGATAGCGTGTAGTTAGATCCTGTAATTCAACTCAACACATTAGTTGTTAGTCAAGCTTCGCCAACCGATAAGCGAACTAATTACCATAAAAGGGTAATCTACGGTGGACGACGAGGAACTACTAGGATAAAAACTATAATGTGGACATCAATAGCCTTACTGGACCAGTATTCTCATCCACAACAAGTTGAAAGTTTAAAGTCCATTTACTCAAGGAAAGAACGAATGCAAAAAAAAAACTCAGCCCTGGCCACTGAAAACACTAATTGCATCTTTACCAACAACTGATCAAAGTCTTCTGAATCTCGTGGATCTGCATATGCCTTTGCTCCATTACTTTGATCATCGGAAGGCGAAGTGCACATGCATCCATTACAAGCCAAGCATCCACATTCTAAACACATAGGCTCAAAATGTAGAGCTACATGCTGTCCGATTCTTGTGGCGAAGTCAGTTAAAAGAGAACGATAGTTTCAATTAACCATTACAAGACATTCTTTACGTCTGCCAGTTTACAGGATTTCCATTCCATATAGAAACTAAGCATTTGGCACCTATATCAAGTAGGTACTCTTTCACCATTCTATATTATTCTATTCCAATATACATGGTGTTTTCTTAGTTTATCCTGCGACGTGCGGGGAGGCGTTTTTACGTACCCCCCCCCCCCCCGAAGGTTTTTTTTTCGCAAATATAAAATACGGCGGCGCGCAGTGCCCGCAGCGCCGCCGTTTTTTGACACACCTTTTCATATATCTTTTCTGCAAAGGCTGTAAAAATTCAACTATGGTCGTTCAAGATCAGGTTAGCAGGTGACCTTAAACCTTACCTCAGCAAAAGTTATAATGCTCGCCATACCTACAACAACTGAACGATCGCCTTGAAACTGTCCGCGATTGACAAAAGAAATAGGATATAACAAGGCTGTATATACAATATAGGGCAATAAAGGGCATATAATACTAACTATACATAAAATACACATCTGGGAATCTGGAAATCAGCGACCTAAGGTCAGGTTAATTTTGCGACCTATCCATTATAAGTCAATTGGAGAAAATTGAAATGGGCTTCAGGCCGAAGCCTGATGCATAACCACTTAACCTAAAAACATTTGACTTTCAATTGCCTGCAATCTATTCCTGGGAGTAACCAATTCCTTAACCCCGGTAGGCAAAATCAGTAGATAAGGTTAGGTTAGGTTAGGTTAGGTTAAGCAAGGTTAGATCAGACACGGTCATCAGAGACAACGGTCATCCAATTCGCCGGTGAAAATAAGCTCCCGATCTAATAGTGGATTGCAAAACTCGATAAAAGGCATGACAATTTCTTGCCGCCGATGGGATTCGAACCCACGATCTCAATCTTGTTAGAGAGATCAAGTCATTTGCACCTGTGATCTTGCCACTTTGCAAATCAAAGTTCTCATATCGATAGAAAACCCTGCATCGATACACGATAGTATATTTAGATCGACCTTACCAAATACTTAAACCTCGCCCGCAAATGGGGGGAGGGGTAGCCACCCCCAACCCCGCCCGCCACCCCAGTTAGTTTTTCTGCTCTTCGCTTAACACTTTTCAAGCTAGAAGCCTGATTTTTCGTATAGCTGCTCCTCTACTCTTTCTTAGCGTCCACCGAAAATTTCAAGTTGCTGTGGTTTTTGATTTGGAGATATGACCTTGTTCTTCAGGTCATGTCATGACTCAAATGACAAATACCCAATATCTTGCATTGGCTATGGGTCTTGTGAGCTTTTGACACCTTGATTTCGGCCTTTTATGCCAGTCTCACCTCCCCCGCCTATCATATAACATGTTGTTCGACGACATACAGATGTTGGGGCCAGGGTCAAGGTCAACCTAGGTCATCTAAAAACATTGCGTTTTAGGCAAGCTAAATTTACTTTTCGTGAAGTTTCTTTGACTGTAATTTTGGTAAAAGCTTCTCAGTTCTCAGTTCATGATCTCATCTAATAAGGGCACAGAATCAATTGGTGCACACATCAGCACAAACACAGACACATAAACACATTTCATTGACCTTGACCTAGCTTGACCTGAAATGACAACAGCCAGTAAAAACCTAGTCGGATAGTGTGACAGAGGTTCTACTAGCTGGCTTGGCAGCGTCATCAGTAAATGATGAGCAGCGCATGTGATATTCCAACAGTGACCCCAACCAAACAGCAACATTTTTTAGTTTGACCTGACCTGGAAGGTCAATGACTGACCCGATTAAGTAAAACTGGGTATCATTGGATTAATCTCTTCCCAGAGAATCTGTTGCTCTTTACTACAAGCTCTATCATTTCTCCAGCAGGAATGCAATGGTGCAGGGGGTGGCAACCCCCCCATGCCAGTCTGCAAAACGTGGCAGGGTTCGACGAGATCTCGTCGGGGCAGACACAGTGGGGCGGGGGCAGATATCGGGGCAGCTTTTGAGAAATCGGGGCAGAGTTCGGCAATTCCGGGGCAGACCGTTTGTAGTCGGGGCGGACCGGGGCGGGGTGCACGCTACCCAAGATACCTATAAGAAACAGGTAGATCCGATGTTTGAAAGTAAACAAAAAGTAAAGCCCCAGTCACAAATTTGACGCACCTGTGACATTTCCTGACACCCACGTGACTATTGTATTAACTTTTGTGTTATGCGATGTTTTGACCTTATTTAAAGTACTGAAAGCTCAAAATGTATGATTAATGTTGTTTAAAGCAGCATATGAATAATTATGTTTGTAAATTATCGATAAGCTGCTTATAGCAGGTCACGTGATTGCTACCAGATTATGTGCTCAGAAAGCATCTTTTCAACTTCGATTTTGAACAATTTTTACCTCCTTTGAGGCCAAATGATGGACGGTTTGAGGCACACGATGAAATGCTGAATCTATTGATGCCAAAATTTGTTCGTTTTTTGCATTTTTAGACTAGTATATCCTGGCTCAAACTTTGACCAGTTTGTGTGTAAACCCTATGGTGAAGGGAAAACTTCACGCCCAGCACACGCCCAGCAGACGTCTTTACAGTGCTGCCAAATCGTGTTTGGTGGGGGTCGCACGCTACCGGTGGAATATAATAAAGAAGCAGAGTATTGTTGAAACACGCGAGAAAAAGTGAGCTGCGCCACAAACGTCACTGAAGCGCAGAAATTGTCATTTGTAACTGCTACCATATTCGAGTTTTCCCTTCATCGGGGCTATGAATGTTTTACGCTTGGTTTTACGCGCCGTGTTTCGTATTAGCAACCAAGAAGGAAAGGCGCTACCCGGAGATACTCCTTTCTAGCCTCACCAAACCAAATCAAACCAAACCGAACCAGACCAAACCTGACCTAATCGAACACTCGTAAATGTGCTGTATAGCCCTCACGATGATTGCCGTCCGGCCAAATGATATCCACATTTCCACTTAGAAACGAACGCATGCTAAACCGGCTGCGAACCCGCGACCTGCAGATTAAGAGACGAGCTGCACACTTAAAACTAAGCCAACAACTAGCTGATCATCGCCAAGACGAGGTGTAATATCAGTTTTTCAATGATGGGGCATTGTCCGAGTAGTGCCTTTCTTTGGTTGCAAAAACGAAATGCGCCCCTCGCTGCCGATTGATTCGACGTTGCCATGGCAACATGAGGCAGTTTTGCACCCCAACTGCGTCATCATCACATTTTAACCGGAACACTACGCTAGCCGCTCTATATAATATAACCTTGACCAATGATCAGATCCTTTTTAAAAAATTGTCGAGTCTCATTACCGCGACCGCGACCGACTTAAATTTGCGCGGGTGATGTATTGATATGTAGTTTTTATGCTATATATAGTACATTTAGGGCCTAATCTAACCTGCCCCAATTAGATGCCCCATTTGGGGCAGAAATTCGACTGCCCGGGAGGCTGACTGCCCCATTTGGGGCAGGATTCCGGCTGCCCCAAACACCTCGTCGAGCTGGCTGCCACGTTTTGCAGACTGGCCCCCATGTCCGTTCTAGGATGGAAAAATGGCATGTGTGGGCTAGGGTTAAGCCACCAGTGACATAATCAAGGTCTGAGCATTGTGGGTAATCTCGCATAAATATTATATGCATTCAGACCCTAATAATGCATGAACCTTGTTTGTTTTGTTTACAGCAGAAAGCTGTTGGTCATGCATGCCCCACTGTTGCCATAATCCCTTCAAACAAGGTGTGGTTGATTAGGTAGGTAATGAGTCGACACTGTTTTGTCATTGTCAGTGAATGGAGTACATTGCAGAAAAAGTATTACATACCTTACAAACATCACAGTTAAAGGTGAGAGCTGCAGCTGCAGCTTTCTTCTGATCCTTCAGGTTATGACCCGCCTGTTTCTTAGCGGCAGCCGACTTCGCTTGAGCTTTTTGCTGTGATTGAATTTTCTGTTGTCCCCGAGCCATTTTGCTTCAATTCTGGAACACCAAATAACAATTAACAACAGTATGTAGCTTATCCTCCAGTGTATAGATTCAGAGATGTAAGATAGGTCAAGGTACAGCGTACATCGGAACTTTCACATCAACATGCACTAATGACAACTGACAAGTCAGGAAAACCAAAAAACAAAAGTTTGAGTTCGCACACTGAAATGGCTTCCTCAATCACATCTGCTGAAACTGATATAATAAAACAAAAATGATAATTGTTGGTAATACAGCTGACACACACCCTGCACATGACGTTGTGGACACAAAAATCAGAAAATACTGGAAAATACTCACAAAGTAGGTTGAGGTTCAGGTAGGCAACTCAAAGGCTTGCTCGTTGTTGGTTGTGGTATATATGGCCTTGTAGCCTTGGGGCCTTGGTTGTTGTAGAAGAGTCAGGGCGCGCAGCAGCTTGAAAGGCTCACGGTCAGAAAATACTAGAAAGGCTTGCTCAAAAGCTCAAGAGTAAACATCGATGCGTCACACATGTCACAGCAAAACAAAAAATGAAACGGAAGTGGATATGGTAGCAGTCCGGTCGTGATTTTTTGCGAAGGTCATCCGAAGAAACTTTTTTCCTAACAAATTTCGCCTTAAAATTCATTCAACTGTCATTCGAACAAATATTTTCAAATATTTATTTTTATCAGTATTCTCAAATAAGTTATTAAGCTTGAAAATATGGCCTCTAAATACCTGTTAAGTAAGTATTTAGAGAAAGACTTTACGTACTAAAATATGGTAGCATTATTTAATTAGAGGAACAAAACTACCAAAACATCGTGCTTCAACTTTTGGCCGTTGCCTTCAGCGCACAATAAGCCTTTATATGTGCATGTTGATATCGTAAATTTTTACCAATTTGTGTTAATTTATCACGTCATATTTCTCCTTTTTGTTTTTTCGATCCATGAATTTCTTTCTTTAATAGAATATCAGCATCAAATTGTCGCATTAGCTGTTCCGTCCGCCATTTCCACGGCAAAGTAGACGAATGTGACACACTGCGCATGGTCGTGTTATTTTTTTCAGCCGTTGTGAAGCCTCTTTTGCGGGCTTGCGAGTTGTAAAAAATGATAAGATTTAGAGTCAGCTGCATTTCATCTGTGGGCTGTTGATATTCCCTAAGGTATGCTGTACTTTTTTATTCCTTATTGGTAGTGCTGTGCGTCGTTGCCGTTCCAGGGTGATGCTAGGGCCCCATTTCTGTCCAAGGCCTCGTTCGCTGGTGTTTCAGTTGTGTTTCAGCCGGTCAGACGGTGCTTGTGCTAGGACAGAAGTAATTAATGCTTATACATCAGCATAGGTATTTGGTATAGTCATTTTTCATTATTTTCTGGTTGTGCCACAACTATTTCAATTTGCATTATTGCTAGACCTAATTGGTAAGTTAAAGGGACCTTTCTGGCTCCCACATTTAAAAAGTTATGAATTGGCTTAAAAGTGATGTATCCTGGTTCAGAAAGAGCAAAAATGAGTGTCCTTTAAATTTCACCAAAGTATATTGGCAATGTTTTTGAAATTTGAGGTGTTACATTTAATTTTGATTATTTTTTGGCATCCACTGTTCCTATAACATCATTTCAATTTTGAAGCAACAATATGGTGTCTTAAAAGTGTGACAGTTGTTGTGCGCAAGGCAGTACCTATATATCACATTAACATTGTCATTTACTAAGATTTAAGGTTAGGATTAAAGTGCAGTAGCTGCTTAGAATCCAAAAACTCCAGACTTTGCATGAAATTAAATATTTCATGTATGCTTAGTAGTTAAAACATAGGTATATGCTTGGTATTGCATGGATTTTCTAACATGTTGAGATGTTCCCTTATTTTAGGTTTTTAACTTTAAAAAAGGGCTTAGGATATTTATAGAAACACACTTTGTGTGATGTACATCCCTAGACCCTAATGCTTCATTGGTGCTGTTTTCTTTTTTTTTTCACAGCATATCTGAGTGTCTGCAAGGTGCTCAATGATGAACAACCCAGAGTCATCTGAAAATAATATGCATAGCACACCTGAGAGTGGCGGGTAATTTTTGTTATTTTCTTAATAGGTTAACATGATTTGCCTTCCATGATATGTTTCTGGTCTAGCTTACATGTCATGTAGCATTACCTTGGTGTAATTTTGTTAAATATGTCAATATACTGTCTTTGGAGTCATTTATTCTAACTTTTCTTCCAAGCTATTTATGTGTTGATGTTGTCTATCTGAAGTCTTTGCTGTTCCTATTGGTTGTTATCTTTCAGTCAGTTAATTGTTCAGTCAATGAAATGCTAATATGCAGCACAGTCTTCCACTGTTTCTGATGCCCACAACATCTGCAAAATCATTTAGATAGAAATGATGCTGGATGCTCACGACCCACAGTGACAGTTTATGTCCCTAACGGCCGTCGTTCTCCTGTCAGATTGGGCGGTGGCCCCGAGCAGACCGCCGCCGAGTGCCGTCCGCCGGCCTCCCCGCAGGTGGCGGCCCGGCCGGCGCCGCCGGTGCTCACCCGACATCCGATCGCCTCGCCGTCGCCGCCTCTGGTACGCCACACCAAACAGGTGCGCACCTACAGCCGGCCGGTGCCGAGCGCCGTCCAGCCGCGGCAGCCGGTGCCCAGTCGCGCGCAGCAGGTGCTGCAGGCGGCCGTGGGCCGCGGCGCGCCCCTCCAGCAGCGTCAGCCGCCCGCCGCCGCCGGTCGCCGGCCGCCGCTGCACCAGCAGCCGGCGCACCAGGAGCAGCCGCAGCAGTACGTCATGGCCGCGACGACGGCCGAGCAGCAGCCGACGCGCATGGTGGCCGTGCAGGTGGCCGGCGCGCCGCACCAGTATCGACTGGTCTCGCAGCCGGCGGCTGCGCCCCGCCTGGCGCACACACAGTACAGTCTGGTGGCGACGCCGCCGGCGCCGCAGCCGCAGCCGACCGACGCAGGGCTGCTCGTGGTGAACGCCGCGCCGGCCAGCGCCACCCTTGCTGTCCCGCAGCGCCAGGATGGAGTCTACATGGTGACGCCGGCCGTCCAAAGCCAACCAACGGTGGACGTGCCAGTCCAAAGGTGAGAGAGACTTTGTGTTGCTGGTGACGGGGTCGGTTGCAAATTGGATCCTCGTGGGTCAGCCTGCACGCTGATCACATTAGGTTGATGTGCTGAGCTTGCATGTTTCTGGGATCGAGACATCAGCTAACTAGCTATAGATCATGTGTCAGTGATGAATCAAGCATTTCCTGATTGTATTTTGGAAACTTGCCCTCTAATTTCGTGTTTAGTGCAGGGTCTTCTAACATACGCTCGATACGCTGTTGCCATTCAATTTATACGTTTCCTTCACAGACATTTAGTAAGTGGAGTGTGAATACAGACGCATCTACTCTCACTGCGCCTGCTGTCGCTGACCGTTCCTGCCGTGTTCCCCAGGACGATCGGCGGCGGCGGCGGGCCGGCGATGCGCGGCCGTCCCGCAGCCAGTGGCCCGCGCCCCGCCGGCCGCGGCCGGGCCGTCGGCCGAGCGGTGCTGACTTCCGTGGGCCGCGGCCTGGGCCCGCCGGCTCCGACCTGTCAGCGTCCCGGCGAGCCGCCGCCGCCGCCCCAGCCGGTGGCGGCGCCCGGCCAGCCCTTCGATATCTCCCAGATTCCCATCGAGTTTGAGGAGCCCGCGGTGACTGCGGCGCGCACACAGGCGGCGGCGGTGGCGGCTGCCCAAGGCACTGTGGTGCGCTCACAGTCTGTGGCGGCGGCTGGCCAGGGCGCTGCGGTGCGGACACAGGTGGTGACTGCCCAGGTCACTGTGGCAGGCACACAGGCGGCTGCAGCTGCCCAGGGCTCTGCGGCGCCCGCTGCTGTGACGGCCACTGGAACCACAGCCGCGGCACCGGCAGCGGTGGCCGGGACGGCGGCGGAGCCCCGGCCGACCACCCAGACACTGGTCGAGTATGTGTCTGCTGGCCAGTCAGGTCAGGCGACCCCTGCAGTGCGGAAAAAGACCATCACCATGGAGCAGTACAGGGAAATGCAAAGGAAGAAAAAGGTAAGCAGAACAAATTATCATGTAAAAGTAATATACTCATTGGTTGTTTATTCTTTGCGTTCTTTACTTTTATGGACGATCATTTTTCTTACGAAAGTTCGCATCCACGCAACAATATGCTATTAGTCTAGTACAATTTAATTTCTGGTCACTTGCTTCGATTGCTAGAAGCTTTTGACGCTACAACGCTGGTTTACAGCAGGACTGGCTGATGGCATCAAGTCCAAACCATGGTTTTGCCAGTCAAGCCCTCTTTCATGCCACACATATCTAATTGAGTGCGTTTCGCCCAGCGTACCAACATCCACCATTCACAGTACTCTCTTGTTTACTTCCCACTGCTAACAATTCACCTCTGTTCGCGCAGGAGCGCACCCAGTCACTCGACTCGTCTCTTCAGTACGTCTCAGGCGAGGGAGGCCAGCGGTTCCAGACGTACGGTCGCGCCACGGCGCCAATACTGAGTGGTCAACTGCAGGCCACCGCCGCCGGCAAACAGCTGGCGGCAGTCATCGACAGGTGCGTGACGGGGGCGGTGGCTGTGGTTGCTGGTGCTTGTGACGGAGATGCTGGTGACAGTGACGGCAGCAGCGACGATAAATTGGATTGGGGAGTGTAACATGTTGACGGTTTATGTGGCGCAGTTTTTTATTCTGATTCCTGGGCAGGGATGGGGTATAAATACGGTGCCGTCGACTGCCTGCTAACGCGTCTCGTTCCTTTTCTCCAGGACTTTGGTGCTGAAGGATCCATCCCGTTCGACCAGCGCTGGAGACAGCGGTAGCGCCGCCAAAAAGCCAGAGGTAGGTGTCGCCTCTTATATGTATGCGGTTGCTTGTATACCACGTGCAGCTGGCCGTTTTAGTTTCAATGTCAGTTCAGGCTGCGTTGTATTGAAAATTGTTGCTAACTTTCATCGACATATTTGTTATTTATGTCCTTCTGTGTTATTTCTGTTATTTGAGCCTAATTCTGTTGCGAGTATGGCTTTGTCTGGATCAATGAACTGTCGCAGACCACAGCTCCAGACGTCTGGTCAGATTATGAGTCATGACTGACTGGGTGTGACTGATTGTGACTGTGACTGATTGTGATTGTTTCTGGCTGTGATTATGACTGATTAGTGGGTGATGACTGGGTAACTACTTTTTGGCTGAGAGGCTTACTGTGACTGGTTGACTGTGACTGTTACTGGTTATGACTGGGACTGACTGCGACTGTGTCTGGCTCTGACTGTGACTGACTGTGACTGCCGCGCCCTCCGGCAGCCGTACTCGCCGCGGACGGTGCCCGGTAAGCGGGCTCTGTGCCCGTTCTGCGCCCAGTCGTCGCTCGACTTCCGGCGCTGCGACTACTGCCGGCGGCCGCTGTCAGCCGACTGTAAGGTGGTCGACTCGCCCTCGCCCGCCCCCTCGCCCTCCCCCTCTCCCTCGCCCTCGCCCTCGCCCTCGCCGGCGGCGGCGAGACCGGCCACCGAGCAACAGTCCATCATCGTGTCCCTGTCGCCGACCACGGTGAGAAAACCTCTATTTGGGAATGCGTGGAATAGAACACTGTCGAGACTTTAGAGTATACTTATGCGTGCTATATGAAAAGTATAGTTAATATAGTCGTTTGCATTTGGTGGTATTGACAATGACATGGCTCCTTGCGTTGAGTGATCGTTCTAAGTTCTTCGAAGCTTTTTCATGACACCGTTGTCATCGTAACGGGGTCTAGAGAGCTGTTGCTTTCATTCATTCAGTGATTAAAGTTGCTGTACCTAGTAATTCCGCTCTGGTATTGTGTTACGATGCCGTTCAGCGAAGACTTAGAAACATCGTCTGTCGATCATCATTGTCATCTCTCGCTCGTGATCAGTGCCCGTTCGGCTTCCACTGACGCCGCGTTTGTTCGCCAGTATTCGCGTGTGATCGCCCAGCCGCGGCCTGTGGTCAGAGTGGGAGCTGGCCGGCCGCCGCCGCCCCCTCCCCGTCAGCAGAGACGGGTGCGCCGGCGACTGACTGAGGAGCCAGGTGAGGCTAGGTGGAGGGAGAGGGGACAGGGAGAGAGTGGGTTGAAGAGTGGGAGAGAATGATGGAAAGGAGAGCGAGTTGGAGATGGGAGTGGAAGTGAATGGATGAGGAAAATACAGCGCAGGATGACGGAGAAAGGAGGAGTAAGGGATCAGTTTGGCGTACTCCTGGTCTCAAAAGTTCGCTCGAACAAGACAGACTATAAACGTTTTTAAAACATCAGCGTCTTTTTCACGTCTGCGGGTATGAGTAATGAATATGTTACCTGAATGATTGTGACGGAAGATACCGCACAAGCCTTATCGCCGTTCTCGCCATGACCGTTATATAACCTCTATAAACACGCGTCCCTCTCCCCCGCAGAGTGTCTAACCATCTCATCTGACGAGGAGAGCCCGACGCCGACCCGTCCGTCGCCGGCGGTGACGCCCCAGGCGGCCGACGGCAGCGGTGGCACGCGCTCGTCGACTGAGGAGGGCACGCCCGGCGCCGGCGGCGACAGCGCGCGGCTGAACGGCGAGGAGCCGACTGCCGGCGGTGTCATTGGTGCGTGTGAGTGGAAGAACGCCACTCACATGAACAGAGGAGGATGGGGGGGGGGGGGTGCTTATCAATATAGGAGGGCTGATAAGCTCATGATTGACGTACAATGACTGTGATTGTTGACGTAAATGTGTCATGGAGCTGGAAAACGTGGAAACTTAGGTTAGGCTAGGCAATAGCCGTTTCCAAGCTTTTTGCAATGTCATATCCCTGACCGTTGATTTTTATATATTGATTCATGTTAAGCTTATTTTAAAACCATCTTTCAAAAAACATGGGCATCATTACCCTGTTAGCCTCTGTGACCAAACGATCCAATGTGTGCCGACATCTGTTGGCTGACTGTCTGTCCGCGGCCGGCAGGCGGCGGTAAGGCGGCGGCAGACGCGGCGGACGCGCCGATCGAGGAGTGCTGGCAGCGCGACCTGCTGGCGCTGACCGGCGACGGCTCGCTGCCCGGCGGCTACGTGCTGGAACGGCCGCGCGCCGTGCGGTTCGGCTCGTACCGGCCCGCCTGCGAGCAGCCGGTGCTTTTCAGCGAGCAGGGCGTCCAGCTGCGGCTGCCCACCGCCGGCCGGACCCCAACCACCGTGGGCCTCACGCTGCCGCCGGACCGGCTGACGCGCGTGCAGGCCCACTTCGGCTCGCAGATGATGGTGCTGTTTCTGTACCTGACGACCGAGTCTGGAGCGCCCATCCGTCGCATCCTGCAGATGTCCGACCCGGCAGACGTCTACTTTGATCCGGAGAGCACTCAGGAGGCACAGAAACGCGTCACGTTCATATTCGAGGTGAGAGTCTTTTGTTAGGTGCTTTATTTTAAAAAGGGGAACGTAGAGGACGGGTAGCTGGTCATGGGTGAGGCATGTCTCATGAGAGTCGGGGTAAGGCGCACGCTGGTTAGGCTCACTATTTAAGTTAGGTGCCATCTAGGCTGGCTGAGTCGTGTGTGGCTTGTTTATATTGCGGTAGCTGACACCTCAGTGACGCCTTACTGGACGTAATATTACATGCAGGCATTCTTGGGACACTCATGCTTCTCAATTCATATCGTTGGCAGTTATCAACCGCCGCTGACTGAGGCATGTTTGTATAATGCTGACTGCGTCTGTTGTCCCAGACTGATCAGCCCGACTCTGACTCTCTCAACAGGAGAACCTCTCGGAGGAGTCGCGCATCACCCTCCTGCAGGTGTTCAAAAGCTCTGTGGGCGAGAAGCGAGTCATCGAGATCAACATGGCCGAAGCCAACCGTATCCTGGTGATGTCGGCGCCACCGCTGCTCTCCACCAGCCTGCAGTCGCACCAGCAGCATATGGTCAAAACGTGAGACGGAGCACGAGGGCGGGTGGATAGTGGGAAAGATGCTGTAGCTGTATTTTGTCATAGTGGTCACGAGAGTTTGTGGAGCTAGAAAATCTGAACTTGGTGAAGTCGCGCTGTGATATGTTTTGGCCGATCGATGAATATATTCACGTTCTGTAGAGTTTTACCGACCGTACATCACCTTATTGACCCCCACTCTTACCCACACCGCTACCCCACCCATTTAACCTCTGCCTTTGCTGCGCCGCCGCAGCCTGCTGCAGTTCCCGCCTCCGCCCGCCTCTGGGGCCATCGCCGTCACCACGGACGACTACTGCTGCCTGGAGGAGGAGCAGTTCCTCAACGACGTCATTATCGACTTCTACCTCAAGTGAGTGGCCAGGACGTGGGGCTATTGATTTTGATGGAATAGCTGTGCTATATCATTGACCACTGCAATTGCTCGAGGGCAGCGGTAGACTGGGGCTGATGATGGGGAGGTGAAGGAGTTGATCTAGATGATCATTGAGCTGGTTATCGTTTAGAGTGACGTCTGTTGAAGAGAGGTTTTTGTTGAACGCCGCGCCATGCCCTTAAGTGCAGTTGCGGAAGTTCATAGTAGGTAGGTAGTATGTATGCCTCAGACCACGTTGGCTGTAGACACTCAAGCCGTATCGGCTAAATTTACGTTAGTTGTCAGATATTATTGTACTGTTAGCATTTCCATGTGCCAAAGTTCACAATAATGTGCGTTAAAACACCAAGACGTTACGACAGTACAAACCTTGTCCAGAAAGTGTTAACCGTTATGTCGCCTTGCGCCCACCCGTTTTGCTCGGCGCAGTATAACCTCTCTGACGCCGCTCCACCCCGCCTCCTCAGGTACCTGGTGTCGTCCCGTCTGGCCGAGTCGGACCGGCGGCGGACACACGTGTTTAGTTCGTTCTTCTACAAACGGCTCACCACTCGTCCGAGTAGCCGGCACGGCCGTCGCCCGGCTGAGGACAGCCTCAAGATGACCGCCGCAGAGAAGCGACACGCCCGGGTCAAAGGCTGGACCAAGAGCGTGGATATATTCGACATGGACTTCCTAATAGTGCCCATCAATGAGCAGTGAGTGAACTGGAGCCGGCTGGGAGAGGGAGGGGAGGGAGGGGGTGATACGCACGGTGGTGCCGGTGGTTCAGTGGAATTGACAGGGAACTGATGTTAGTTTTCTTTTATATTTTAGTGTTGAAAATGTTATAAACTACACTTACTAAACGTCTGCAAGGCAGGGATTAAAGAGGGGACCAAATGTGCTACTCGATACAGAGACGCCTAAAGGCATTATGAAGAAACTACAACCTGTTCTGAGAGGAAGCAGTGCGAGCATTTCGGGCATCCTCAAACTAGGTATTTTGACCATCGTGAAATAGCCGCACCCTGACTTCCTTAATGTTTATTTCTGTTCACACTGCACACCACCCTTCTCTCGCTGACACTTGAACGAATTGTTTGCACGCAGCTCCCACTGGTTCCTGGCCATCATCTGCTTCCCGGGCCTGGAGGGCTTCCAGAGACTCTGCGACAACGCGCCGTGCGAGCCTCCGGAGCCCCGTCGGTCCCGCGCCGCTGCCCCGCCGCCGCCACAGCCCCCGCCGCAGCCCGGTACGCTCTCTGCACGAAGGACGGGGAAAGGCTGGGGTTTGTTATACATGGGCCTGTCCGGTTGGGTGATTCGTCGCGCCGGTATATGTGTTAGGTTCTCGTTGGATTCTCGAAATCGGCTCGGTTCTCCCCCTAGTTTGATCATATCGGATGGTGTGGCGCTGTGCCCTGTTGTAGCCTTGTACCCGTCATATCTGATGTCATAATTTGGGTGTCATTCGTATGCAGAATCTGCAGCCATGTGAAGCACATGACCCACAAAATGTTCCAACTCCGTTCCGGGAATCACTAGCACCACGGCCCAGTTATCTCCTGCCATCTCCGTGACGAAGCGCCCTCCTCGGTTGCAGCTGCTGTGCCGGTGGCTGCTGCGGTAACGGTGCCGTCTCAGGTCGGCAACACGCGTATTGTGCCGGTGAAGGTGGAGCCGCCCGAGGAGCAGCTGGACGACAGTGATCGGGACGAGGCGGAGGGAGACGACGAGGACCTGGATGCCGAGCCCGAGGAGGGCGATGAGCCGCGCGCCGCGCCCGCCGCCGAGGGGTCGGCAGTGACGCCGGCGGCGGGGGAGTCGGCAGGGGAGGGAACTCAGCAGCAGCAGCCGTCGCCGGCGGCGGCTGACGCGGCGCCGGCAGCCCCCGCGAATGGGGAGGCTGCCGCCGCCGGCTCTGCTGCGCCGGAGGAGCCCGCCGCTGCCGGAGATACCAAGGACGCCAAAGGAGACTCGGCCGGCAGCGCTGCCGAGGATGAGTTTGAACTGGAGACGCCGATACCGGCCGTCTGCACCAAGGACTGGCCGCCGACGGCCGTCAAACAGTGAGTGGGACGGGGCAACCGAGATGTACCTTCGATATTTGTTTTATGGAAGTCTACAGAAGGCTCAACAACGAAAATGTGTTAGAACGTTTGAACCTCTACAGCATGCGCTAGGATTTGGCCATTTATCAGGGCTGCTTTACACCGTCAAGTTTTGCTTCGAAACAAATGAGTCAGCTTCAAGCAACATACATGTTCAATAAAAGGAGCTTCCATTATGTATACCATGTCTATAAATATGTCAACCTAGTTCGTTATGGTGTGTCGATCTCACCAACTTTTCTGTTGAGCTTTGTCCAGCCCTCTATAACCGGCACGGTCGCCCTCCCGTTCCCCTGCAGGCCGTGTGTGCTCATATTCGACTCGCTGGCGGGCGCCAGTCGGTCCCGCGTGGTGGCAACCATCCGAGACTACCTGAGGGTCGAGTACAGCGTCAAAAAGGGCGGCCAGCGGCCCTTCAGCAAGGACACCATCAAGGGCTGCTGCGTCAAGGTGCCGCAGCAGAACAACTTCAGCGACTGTGGCGTCTACGTGCTGCAGTATGTGGAGAGCTTCTTCCAGGTAAGACATTATGCCGCACCTGTGTCAAATGTCCGGACCTAAGATGCCCATATTTTGTCGTCAAGTTCGACCTACTAGTGACGCTTCCATATTATGTGGCCAGTCAAATGTCGGTAGTTGCTGAATAACCGTATATTATTTTTCTTTCGAGTATCAAATGGATAAAAACGCAACAATAATATGCCACTTTAATCATTCATTATCAATTGAATCCAAGTGGCTCGTCGATTACCCAGTGCAGCTGTTCGTTTCTCGTGGCTGACCACCCGCCCCCGGCGTGTGTTTTTATCCGGCAGAGCCCGATCCGGGACTTCCAGGTGCCGCTGATGCCTCTGCCGCGCTGGTTTCCGCCCGAGCGGCCTCTCCACAAGCGTGAGCAGCTGGCGCGGCTGATCGAGCGGCTGGCGCGCCGCCAGAACCCCGAGAACGCTGCCGGCCTGCCGCGGCTGCTCTTCAACTCGGCGATAGCGGCTGGAACAGCGACCGTAGAGCCGCCGCCGGCCCCTGGACGCGACGGGAAGCCGCCGCGGCCGGGCGCGCCGGCGGCCGGCCCGGTACCCCGGCAGCTAGTGGTGACTCGGAACACGGCCAGTGCTACTCGCCAGCAGGCGGCCAACCAGCCGGGCAGGCCGCCGGCCGGCGCACAGAGGCACGTGCAGTACGTGACGCTGAAACCCGAGAGCGGCTCGGCGGCGACTGGCAGGTCCGTGCAGCTGCTGTCTCTGCAGGCCAAGCCGGGCCGTGGCATTGCGGGCAGCACGCCCACCAAGCTGTCCATCCGGCCGCTGAAGCCGGTCTCCCCTGGTCAGCGGCCGCTGGTGCTGGCCTCTCGTCAGGTGTTACTGGGTCCGGCAAAACCCTCCCCGGCCCCGGTCAGGCCTACGGTGAAGTTCGTAACCCATCGACCGGTCACGACGCAGGCCAGACAAACCGGACTTCAGCCGACGAGTATCGTGACGTCGCCGGCAGTGGCGGGGCAGAAGTCGCCGGCCGGCTTGGTGAAGGTGTCTGTGCCGGCGGGGATTACCGTGAGGCCGGTGCCGCCGGACCCGGAGCCGGAGCCAGAGCCGGAGCCAGAGCCGGAGCCGGAGCCGGTGGTGACCGAGGCGGGACCCGTGCTGGTGGAGCCGCGTCAGGAGGTGGCGGCGCCCCGCTCTGCAGAGGCGCCGCAGAGGCCGGCAGAGGTGGAGACAGCGCCCTCGCCAGCTCCGAGCCAGACTCCCCCGCCGTCCCAGTCGTCAGACGAGACAGAGCCGGCGACAGCGGTGGCGGCGTCGGCGCCGGTGGTCACTGCCCGGCCCCCGCTGCGCCCGGCCTCCACCGCCGCCGGCCAGCCACCGCGCCCGGCTAGCGGCGCGGCGCGCACAGAACCCATGGCGCCCAGACCAAAGACTGTGCCCACCGCCGCTCGGACGACAGTGAACACATCCTCAGTGTCTTCAGTTTCCTCGCCCGCCGCCGGCCGGCCGGCTGTGAAAGCCTCCACCGCTGTGACCCCTGTAACCGCCCCTGTCGCCACTCGGCCCAGTGTAAGACCCTCCCCCGCCGCCTCCCCTGTGGGCGCCCCTGCGGCCGCCCGGCCCGCCGTGAGCGCCTCCCCGTCCGCCTCGTCGGGTTCTCCGATGGTGCAGTCCAGTGCTCTGGCCGCCGTGGCCGACTCCTACGCGTCAGACGATTCGGAGGACGAGGAGCCAGAGGTGCCGCTGGCGGCGGCTAACGGCTGTGAGAGTGGAGAGGACAGCCCGGCACGCCTGTCCCGCCGCGGCAAGCCGGTCCGCGACTACGCACTCATGGTGGGCTGTAAGCGGCGCCTGCCTGTGACGGCCGGATCGCCCAAGCAGGCCAAAACACCGCGAAAGAGCTGAGACGCGCGTGGTCTCTGGGACAGCGATGGGAGAGGGCTGTTACAGCTACACAGAAGCCAGTCATGGGAGGCGGGCTCGGCGGGCTGTTTGTTTGTCCGCCGGTGCCCTGGGGAATTGAGGTGACGCTGCGCGGCGGCACCGGTCGGATCTGAGCGCGGTCGCGGCGTCGCGGTAAGTATTTATGTCACGGTCACTGGGCCGTTGCTTCACTCTGGGAACAAGCCTCGCGCCGGGCGCCGCCCGCAAGGGAGCGCTCCTGGTGCCGGCCGGAGAAATGTTGTGATATGCAGTCTGTGCCGCATCGATTGCCTGTGCGCTGTACATTGTCTGTTGATTTGTACATAAGTGACCCTTCCGGCAGTTGGCGATTTTCACATGTTGTTGCCAGTTGACAATAAACTGGCTGTCTATCGTGGTCGGCTGTTCCTACTGTAATAAACCTGCGGCAGAGCATTCACAGAGCATACTCGGAGCCCGTACGGCAGTGCAAGGGGTGCTTGTGCGCAGTGCTGCCCGCGGAACTGTTATGCTCTCGAGTGCCCTCCGATCATAATAAATGCAAATATAGTGACAAAGTCGTTCCAAGTGAGTCAGTGCCCCAATTTGCATCATTCGGCATGGTCATTGGACTTAGCGATCACATAGGCATATCGGCAGCGTGACGAGGAACAGCCGCTACGTTCGCAACGCTATTTGATTGTACCACGATAAGTACGTGCAGAAGGAAGCGTGCTCAATTTGATATCCGGTCCACGGCCATGGGATGATGACCTGTGATGGCTGAAATGGGGGCGATGGCGTCGAGAGAGCCCTAGCGGTAGGAAATAAGAGATCCGAAGTCCGAACTGCTGGACATCATTCCGCGCCGTTTCACCTATAGGGGTCAACGAAGGTCGTGAGGCCAAAAGCTGGGCAGCAGATTGTGGTCCATCCAAAGGAGCTACAATAGGTCACTGAAAGTGAAAATGGCACCAAACGACTCGCCGTGACCTGAAGCTACTATGCTATGCTATCGACTGTTTAACTCTAAAGGTCATGAACTTAGCTTAGGTCACTTACGGGCCATGTCTAAGAAACGCCCGTAAGTACAGTGACTCTTGAATATACGAATAAGTCGCATCATTCGGCAGTCCATATGTGGTATGAGACCGCCACAACTTTCCTTGCAAACTGCTGGTGAATATGTGACCTCGTTTGACCTATACAACTGCAACGTGAAGCAGCCTTGCGTAAAGCGCTCAAGTTCGCAATTTGCATATTCATGAACTGTTGTGCATGTATTTTTCTACCTGACCCGTAAATAACCTAGGGACATGGCGTGACCTTTAGTGTTAAATCAACTGTGGGGAAGTACCTTAGATAATGGTGAGTCGTTTCATGCAATTTTCAGTGCTGTTAGCTCCGCCGGGTGGGCCACAATCTTGTGCAGAAGTGTGACCTTTGTTGACCTCTGTAGGCGAAACGGTTAGAAGTGACGCCGAACTGCTAGGCTACGCGTTACCTATCCCAAGAGCTCTGTTGTTTGCAAGTTTGAAATGGATCCGAGGTGTCCCGAATTCTGGCTGAATCCAGGCTGGAGCCCAGTGGCGTCGGTTTTTTCATTCCTCGCCGACCGAGGGGGCGGATGCCCCCCCCCCCCCCATAGGGGTCTTCCTCGCGATAGCTACAAACACACCCGCGATAGAAAGCTGAAACTTGGCATACCTAACCTTTGATTCAAGACGCATCTTGTGACACCAACCGCATTTTCAAGCCAGGTCAGGTCACTGACCTATGACGTCATAAGTGAACCTCTGCACGGTCTTCAGATGTCGCAACTTCGCAACGCCCTCAATGCCAGAGGAACTTATACAAGGAGATGAAACTTACGGGATGTAGTATCCTCTAAAGGTCTCACAACTTGTAGGTATATCTCATATTTTTCCTAAAAGTCACATGAGGTCAGGTTGGTCACGTGACCCCACCATTAGGTATATAAGTCAATGGGGAAAAATGAAAACTGCTCGCCGGGAACAATCTCAAACAATCTAAAGCACACGGAATCGTGATTTCTTGCTCTCCTTGCAAGGTCCGATGCTTCACTTTTGCATTGTTGACTTTGTGTGACGTCATTTATGACATCACTTGTGTCATAAGAGTTTTTTTTTTTGTCAATAACTCCCGATCAAATTAAGCTAGCGAGTCGGGGAAGCCACCAATGGACAGGGACTCAGAAAGACCTACCGAATCGAATGATGTGCGACATGACCTCCTTTAACCAGTTTCGTGACCTGAAGGGGGGGGCGCTGACCCGACCTTGACCCGAGGTCATCATCTCAAGGTGACCTCACGCGAGCAAAAAAAATATATCATTCGACGTGCCTGAGCGAGGCAAACACGATGATGCCAAAATTGCGGCTCTGCGACCGTTTATTTTTTTATTTTTTAGAAGTGATTTATGGAAAACTTAACTCGAGCCTTGGGTCACTTGACCTGACCTCAGAGGTCACCGGTTGAACTGAAACATTACAATCGGGTACCAGTCGCTGCGTCTTGTAACGGCGCACGTGCTCGTTTTTTTTTCTGCGACGCTCTAGCTCCATCAGGGCGAAACGGCAAGGGGGTCGTACCCCCCCCCCCTCGGCGGGGCGTAGGTATGTAGAAAACCGACAGGTCCGACGAGTGTTAACTTTTTGACCGACATTCCCTCACACCGGGGCTCGTGAGCCGCGAATTTCGTTCAAACAAACTATTATGACACGGGTTACGATGGATCCAACACTAGCCGGCTGCAATAGCCGTCCAGTGTCCACTGCATCCATCATGCTACGTCACCTCAGTCACCTCAGTGACACGTCACCTCAGTGAGGTGACGTGAGGTGACTCATTACAGACCAAATACCACTGACGCCTCCCTACCTGTCGCTCCCTACTGCCCTATGGGGTGTGCACGCACCACTGACCCGACCGCGGGATAACCCACGCGGAAGTGATATGTACATACAAGCCAAATACAAGCGTTGGATTGTTTCTCTCCCCCTCCTGGCCCCCTACGACATGGGACAGTGCAGCGCTGAAACGATCCGAACTGCTCGCGCACCCCTCCAATCGACACGATATGACGTCACCAGAGGACTCGGTGGAAGTCGATGACAGAGCCCGTGAGCAAGATAGAGGTTCATAGCTGTTCGGGATACCGACAGGTAAGGTTGAAAAACACTCGAGTTCGTAGCAAACTTCATACCAGGTTACCAACTCTGATGGTACCTGATTGAACGAGAAATTCGAAGCATTTCAAAAGTCAAAGGTCTGCTAAATTGTGGGTTGTTATGTTGATTCTGACTCCTTCGGTATTTTAAATGGGCTACCTCTTTTATAGGGTTGATAGCCTAATGGCATATAGGATAAAAATAAAGGAAAGACGTTGGTAGGTATCTATGCCTAAATCGACCAGAGACTGGCACACCGCAGTAGCCCAGCCGCAACATTTGAACGGGAGTCTCCATTCCCCCTGGGTACCTAAATATATGTACATTTTAAAAATGTTACCGCCGAGCATCATCGATGTGCTCCTGGAGCTGCCTTTCACCGGCCTTGTTGGGGGAGAGACGACCGTCAAGTCGTCAAGGAAATGTTAGCAAAGACAACTATGGCCGGGTTGGTCACGAGAGCAGACAGAACGGGTGCAGTCTTATTTTTGTTTTGCATAGACATCTGAGAAATAAACTGTCGGGTTAGGAATGAGTGCGCTGTTTCTTATAGCTGGACGTTGGACTCTCCATTAGCTAATTTCATTTTTTGACTTCCCATGCGACGCGAATGTATCACTAATTGCAGCTCATTTATAGGCAGCCATTATGCCCTCAAAATGGTTATTTAAAATGAAGCTGAACGTCGCCCGTATCCGATCTAAAGACTTAGGACGGTCTCGAGGCTAGGCGGTACAGTCTACCTCGCAGGCGCTAACCATTCCTGCCATCTGGCGAGCGGTAAGCTAACCAATAAGCGTTGCGGCGCAGCATAACACGCAGGTGATTTAGGCTGCGATCTTTTGCGACATCAGCAGCAAAGCTGTGTCGTGTCTTTTGTCTTGGGACCTCGTGCAACTGCTACTGTGTTCAGTTCATGTATTGTAATGAATGAATACCTAACTTTCGAAGAGTGGTGGGTGATGTGATTTAATCGTGAACAGTTTTCACGATGGAATGCCTATAGCGCATGAATCATTATGAAGAAAGCTGTGAGTTGAGTTGTGACTTGACCCTTGACTTGTGACGAAAGTGATAATCGTCCATATTATATGAGGAGTAACTGGTACGCATTTATTTGCATCATTTTAGGCTTAACTTCCATTGAAGACCCTCTCTCCTGTCTGCGAGATGGTGCCGCTACTTCTGCCGCTGCTGGTGACCTCCCTGACGACTGCCGAGCCAGACTACTGTAACATCACCACCTGTCCGCATGTGGAGGACCACACCATGTGCGTGTTCGACACGGACGGCCCGGCACCCATGTGCGACACGGTCGTCACCCGCGGAATCACGCCAGGCGACCAGACCACCATCCTGGCCGTCCACAACCGGCTGCGGGCCGCCGTGCAGAAGGGCGAGTACAGCCAGCGCGGCCTGCCGCCGGCCGTCTCCCTGCCGCCCCTCAGCTGGGACCAGGAGCTCGCCACGCTGGCCCAGCGCTGGGCCGACCAGTGCATGGACGACAGCGATCTCTGCCGCGACGTTCAGCGCTTCAAGGTCGGACAGAACGTAGCGATGATTTTTGGTCAGAAGAACTGGACGCGCGCTATCGAAGAGTGCTACTTTACTGAGCAGCTAGAGAACTTTAACCAGACCAGTCTGACGTACCAAGCCCCGCCGGAAGATGACTTTGGTATGACGGACACCAGCAAACTCAGTCAGCTGTTATGGGCGGCCACCACTAAGGTGGGGTGTGGCTATATTGCCGTAAAGTTCTGGCTTTCCGAGGAGGTGGGACCCGGTGACGTACATGCGTATATTTGTAACTATGGCCCCGCAGGAAACATCCCTGGGCAAACCATGTACACCAAAGCCTAAGCAGCAACAGGTACTGAGTGGTGTGTGTATTCATGGTTATGATTTCACGGTGCTTAGGTGTATCGAAAAGCACTGAGGGCAGACACTTCTTCAATTGCTAACATCTCGGGTAGTATTATAGTGTCCGGCCGATAATTTATTACGGACACAGTATCTCATGCGGAACAGTCGTTGCGCCTCTCACCCGACTCATTTTCCTGCAAGCCTTTTATAATTTACATACACTTAGTGATTCCTTTGTGTTTGCTGGCTAGATCGCTTACCGGTGAATTTGTGATGGCCCGTTCAGATGTAATCTCAGGGTTCAGGGTCACAGCGTTAGCGTAATAATCACTTGTACTTTATACAATAAATACCTAATGATGATCACTACACTGAAAACAATTCAACCCGCGTACAGCGAGTAAAACCCGCTGCTGGCGGGTACACCTACCCACCACCTAATTTGACACTCTACCAGCGGGTGCGTTTACCCGCATATCGCAGGCTGTCAACCCGAGTATATTGTGTACCTAACCCGCATAGGATGGGGACTCAACCCACACACAGAAGGCAACCTACCCGTTCGCAGCGGGTACACAATCCGCACATGGCGTATTACCTGCGCTGCGTGGGTTGTGAACTCGCTTTCTGCGAGTACAAATATCCGCTGGTAGGGTGTCCAAATCAGCTGGAGGGTGAAGTACCCTCCAGTGGCGGCGTTCAAGGAGGAAAAAGCCGCCGACCCGCCGGGATTCGAACCCGATATCTTTGACATTACAAACCGATGCTCTACCAACTGCGCCACAGGCGACCTGACGCAAAGCGACTGAAATGTCGGTGTATATCAGATTAAAATGAAGAACTGACGGCGGACTCAATACAGAAAGTAAAAAGGCTTATCTTAGACAATTGACATGAATCCGCCCATATTGTTTTAAATATTAACCCTCGCATGTGTAGGGGGGGGGTCGGATGGACCCCCCCCCATGGTTTTTCGCAAATAACTCGCGTAAAAAGCGGCCGATCGCGACGAAACTTTCAGTACCCTCGCATTGATCAATTTTACACCTACCCTGAAAATTTCATGACCCTGACCCCAATGACCTTTGACCTGTGACCTCTTTTCCGAGACCATGTTTGGCCGGAATCGCGATTCCGCGTATGTCGGCTCGCATTAGCCGCGCGTTTGCAAGCTTTTCGTGGTTTCAAACGTTCAAACATGTGATTTGATGTTGCTCCCATGCATTAGGGTGGGTGTCAAGGTCACCTGAAGGTCAGGTCAGGTCATTGACCTTTGGTGACCTCGGTTCACTTTTTCGAGTTTTACATGTTTCTAGGCTAGTTTTTGGAGCTGAATTCGAATTTAGCAACCATTTGAACATTTACGAAGTAGTTTTGGTGACTTCGTAACATGTTACAAAGCTGTCAGAGGCGGTTGACACGTAATACTAATACCCGTCACGACGCCTACTGGTTGACCTGACCTGACCTGACCCGACTTGGTCTAAATGCTTAAAGACATCATCTGTGATCAAAACTAACACGATATTCGTGATCAGCACCCCGAAAAACCCCTTAGCAGCCACACTTTACGACTTTCTAGCAGGTCCCGATTTTCCCGACCTTGGGTCATTGACCTCACCTGGAAGGTCAACCAATGACCTAGGACCTTAAAATTGGGTATCATCGGCTTCCTCTCGTCACGGGCAACTCGCTCGTTTTTTCCGCGAAGCTCTAGCTCGATCAGGGGCCAAACGGCAAGGGGGGGTCCAACCGACCCCCCCCCTACACATTAGAAGCTGGAAAACGCCGCACACATGCGAGGGTTAAGGAATAGTTTGGACAAATATTTCATTTGCATCGGGAAAGATTTATTTCTCCAGGCTTATTTTTACCAATAAAATGTGCTAAGAACGGTCTGCAAACTTCACCACAATGCACCAGATTCGCGGACTGCAGACTATTCTGCTGAGCGTTCCAGCGAAATATTCTGCCGGCCAAGACGTGACGTCATCCAAACAATGATTCAAATGTCCCAAGCCCGTTAAGTACCCTCCTAACTCACAGAACGCAGCCCACAGCTGTTACAGTTACGATTACAATTGCCTTGCACATCTCCAGCCATGACACAAGCGTGATCAAGGCAACCTGCGTATAGCATGTCACCTACCTTGGCGCAGCGAGTTACACGATGCAAAACCTGCGTGATGCGCTTACTCCGTGGGCGCGAGTAACGCCATGCGGCCACAACCCGCTGCGGACGAGTGATTGACCCCGCCAGAGGAGGTTTCATGTATCCGCGCATGACGGGTTGCTGTTTTACCCGAGTATAGCGGGCGTTGACACCCGTGAAGCGGGTGAAAGCTACGATGATAACGGGATGCTCTGCGAAACGCGGGAAGCTAAACGGGTAGTCAGCCTACCCGGCAGCAAAAACTCGCGCAGAGCGGGTAATTTCTTCAAAATACCCGCGATACGCGGGCCAACTCGCAATCCGCGGGTTGAATTGTTTTCAGTGTAACTGTGGTGTGTGAGGTCGCTGTGACTGGGCACAAGACTGCAGGCCGCAGGGCACTGAGACCCCAGCTATAGCTCCCGCGCCGTGCTGGTGGTCTACGAGAAGATTCCGTGTCGTGCTGGGGGAGGGGGCGTGAAAACGCCCTCCCCGTTTAACTCGGCTCCCGGGCCACATAGCGACACACAGTTTAAGCGTCATTAGAAAAGGCGTCAAAAGGAATGCAAGAAATACTTCGGTTATTTTAACCCGCGCCCCACTGGGGGGGGGGGGGGGGGGCTATTCATAGCCCCCTCCCGTTTTTCTGCAATAACTTCCGAACCGCTTGACGTATCAACGCCAAACTTTCAGTACCTTCGGCTGCATCAATTTGACACCTTGTGTCAAAGTATGAACTTCGTAGCTACCATAGGTCGGCCGGAAATGACGTCAGAGTGACGTCATGTTCGGCCGATTTCGACGCAAAACATTGAACCATGGCAATCGCTCCCAAGAGCTCAGTTTTTAAGCTAGATCCAATTTCTTTGCATTTAAGTACTCAGAATAGACTGCGCTATCAGACTGCTATCTCGAATTTTCAAAATTTTGAAAATTTCGAAAGTTTATCACATAAAATTCAAAATTTATATTTTTATATTTTTCAGAAAGTTTTTGACCTATAGCGAAAAAAAAAAACCGGAACATATGGAAGAGAACGCATGCTTATGACTTACCTACCCTCAGGGCCTCGGCTAACATGTTAACTACTGGGGCAAATGCCCCAGTAGAGTCGAGGAATGCCCCAGTAGTGGTCAGGCTTTGCCCAACCTCCACAAAATGAGAATATTTCAATATTAACGTACATTATTTCATTCGGGAGCGGTTGAAGACGTTTGTGACAAGAAATCAGGGGCGGCGGAAGAGGGAGTGCACGGTGTGCAGCTGCAGTCGCTGCACCCTCAATTTCCATCCAAAAACATAGGCGTGCATTGGCAAACATATCTTTTTGCACCCCATAATCCATCTTCGTTCGAAAGAGCGCCAAAAATAATGACGAAATTACTTTGGCCACTTTTTTTGGTCCAGTCAAAGGTCAGGTCATGGTGAATGCCAAATTTCGCCGATTTTCAGGTCGAATATCGACAGTTTACAAGATGTCGACGCATAACTCGGGAACCAATTGGAGCTACAGCACCGCGGAAAAGCGCATTTGATAGCCATATTAGCATGCTTTCTGGTAGTATTTGTCTTGGATTTGACCTAAAATCAACGGTTTTGCCTGCAAGGGGCAAAAACTACCAAAATAGACGATTTTTTCGGGAACAGTTTTTCTGCAATAACTTTTGACTCATGCCTTGCACGAGCTTTCTTTGTTCCTCTCGTCAAGACGCATCAAATTAATTACAATTTGACCTTGAAGGTCAACTTGAAAATTCGACCTCAGGTCGAGGTCATGATCTGACCGGAAATCGTCATGTTGCATATCAGTCGATCTGCATCGTCGAGCCAAACGCAACTAAGGCATTTTCATGGCTCTATCATGCCTCTTTCAAAAGTTATTCGCGAAAAACTGTTAGATACCATTCGTGAACTGAGATGACCTCAGGGGCATAAGCAAGGGTCACGGCTGCTATTTTCATGTTCAGTGTGTCAAAGTCACGTACAATGTTTCATTGTGTGTAGAATAACTTTCGTCCAAAAGAGATGGTTTTTAATTTTCTCCCATTGACTTATAATAGAGGTCGCAAAATTGAGCTGACCTTAGGTCACCGATATGAAAATTCCGAGATATAAATTTTGTACATGCGTTGCCCTTATCAATCGCTGAAAGTTTCAAAGCGATCGGTCACTCGGTGTAGCTACCCGGCATACATTGAAACTTTTTTATGAGGTGATGTCACTTGAAGTGACCTGGTGACCTGACCTTGAATGATCTTGGTCTGAAATTTTTACAACACGTGTATGTAGGATTGATGGATGATGGAGCGCCGCCGTTTTTTAACCCTCGCCCGCACATGCCATTTTCCCATCCTAGAACGCACATGGGGGGGGGGGGGGTGGTTGCCACCCCCCCCCGCGCCATTTCGTTCCTGTTGGAGATAGAGCTTAGCAGTAAAGACCAAAAAGATTCTTTGGGAAGAGACGAATCCAATGATACCCAGTTTTACCTTCTCAGGTCAGTCATTGACCTTCCAGGTCAGGTCAAACTAAAAAATGTTGCTGTCTTGGGTCACCGTTGGATATCAAGTGTGCTGCTTATCAAATACCGATGACGATGCTGTTTTCTGGTGCCAAGCCAGCTAGAACCTCTTTGTCACACTACCCGACCAGAACTTTGCTGCTGAGGTCATTTCAGGTCAAGTTAGGTCAAGGTCAATTATATGTGTTTGTATGTCTGTGTGTGTCTGTGTGTATACTGATGTGTGCATCGATTGTTTTTGGGTCCATATCACATGAAATCATGATCTGAGAAGCTTTTACCAAAAATGCAGTCAAAAAAACTTCACAAAAAGTAAATTCAGCT